AAGATGAGGACGACCTTGCAGGGTTCAGTACGACTAGCCTGCTTCTCGACATTTCCTGGCGTTCCGGATAGGCTATTACACATAGTGGTCTGTCATGATGGGATAACCACAGGACAGAAAGTGCCGAGGTGCAGCGAGGCATAAGCCACGACTGCTTCTGGCGTACTACGAACACACTGCGCCGCATCCTGCTCAGCTAAACTTATCGGAGCGAACCAGGACCCGCCCGGTTGCTGCAGCCGTCCAGTTGTACAGCAAGGTGCAGCCCAGGCTGGAACGCACCAAGCAGGCTGGTGCGATCATGCGTTTTGCACTATTTCGTGCTGTAGCAAGATCGCAAGAATCATAGTAGCTTGAATTTGTAAAATATTGGCCCTCGAAATTCAGAAAGTTAATTACGCAGCTATGTGGTGTGTCATCACTTTCAGTGACTCGACAAATGGAAAGTTGGTGCGCAAAAAAGACCCAGTAGAAGAGTTGAATTTGAGATCTTTTAGTCGCACATGCGTAGGGAATTCCTTTAACAATCCCTTAAAATTACAGCTTTTCAGCCTTTTCTCGGCTCCCGGCACAACAGCTTCTCCGTTAAAATCCTCACATATCTGTACATGGGTTCCGGGTTCTAAGAAACTAAGTTTGAAATCTTGGCCGTACGTGAATAGGAACTTTCCTTTAAGGTTTCAGCTTTCTAAAATTTATCTGTGTCTCGAGTACAGGCACGTGAAGGTTTTGGCGAGAAAATTGCTGACATGGGAACAAGAAAAGCTAGTTGCTGAATTTGTTTTGATCGTACATGAGTAATGAACATCCCGTTAAAGTTTCAGATTTCCAACTTTCCTCATTCTCGAATTAGCAGCAAAATTTTCATTTGTTCGCACGTAAGTCTCGGATGATTTCTAGGAGCTAAATTTTAAATAGTTTGGTCCTTGAGCAGGGAATATTTTCCTAAAATTTTAGCTTCTCAGCTTTTTTCGCTCCCGGCTTAACATTCTTCCCGCCAAAATCCTCGCATGTCCGTGCGTAAGGTCCCGAGCGGTTCTGAGGAGCTGAATTTAAAATCTTTAGGTCGTACGTGACTAGTAAACATTCCGCTAAAGTTCCAGCTTTCTAGCTTTTCTCATTCCTAAGTTAGCGATTTTTCCGTCAAAACCTTCACGTATCCGAACATGAGGCGTAGACATGTATAACATCTGGTATCACGATACTGAGGTCGCATTTGGCCAGGGAACACACTAGCAAAATTTCAGCTTCAAAGTTTGTATGGCCGCTGAGTACAAACATCCGAGCAGACCAACAGACAGACAGACAGACACACACACACACACACACACATACAGAGTTGCCGCAGTATGCGCTTTTGCTGCCTGTTGAAGGGCTCTAGGCCTATATGGTAAAAACGCATAAAAAGCAGGGGACAGTGATGAACGCGATACTTCACAGATGCAGTGATCAGAAAACTGCACTTATTTTAGCAGTTATTCTCCTGCCGCCGAAGCAGTTCAAAAATGACCTTTACAGCCTCGTGATGTTTCACCCATTCGATCACTTCCTTGGAATCCTTGCTGCACTGGTCCCTTTCAACCGTTGCTTCCTCGAGTTTCTTCTTCCACACCACCAAGTTGTCATGCTTTGGCGGGCACTTTTTGCTGCGCTTCCACTTCAGCATTTCTTTGTCGTTATTACAATTTGTGTAGTTTTCCTCTGCTGCGTTGCGGTCCTTTACGCACTTACGGTGTGCCCTCACCAGAGAAAAAATTCTATACTCGGCCGTTTCGCGATCATACAACTGTTTTTGTTGTTTTTCCCAGTCAGCTATTTGTTGCTCCATCTTGATTTGATTCTTCTTGCACTCGGCAATCCCCTCCTTCACTTTTTTCAGCTTGCTCACTATCTCTGCATCCGTTTTTTCGAACACTGCGAGGTCTTGGGTGTCACCGATCCGGTCCTCACTGCTCCCTTCTCCACATTCTTTGCTCATCCTTTCGTATTTGCTTTTCAGTTCGGGAAGCTTCCTCGTCTTCAGTCTTTTGTTCTTCATTTCAAGAAAGTGAGCTTTGCGTTGCAGTGCCGACACCCTTTCTATTGCCCTGTGCTGCTGTGTGATTTGTTCTTGCAGTTCTGCGAGGCGTGAGTCCCACGCAGCCTGCCTGGAAATTTACAATCACTGCTTGTTTCGTTGATAAATTTACATCTGCAGGGGAAAACCAGACAAATTTTTTCCTTCTACAGTTTTGCTTTTACCAGAAAAAAACAAGACTTCAAAAAGAATTTTTCAGCTATCGAAGGAAGGACTGTGATAATTGCACGCTATGCTAGCATAAAGAAATACTGCTTCTGCAAGGAGAAGCGAAAGAGAAGGATGAGAAAAGACCACGATGGTTTTCAAAAAGGAAGCTGCGGAAGGCGGCAAACCAGTAATCAGTTTAAAAAATTGGCCAACGCACGGGCTGCCCGTGCGAAGATGCGTTTTTTGCATGGTTCCCCGTAG